TATTTCACAGTGCATGTGCAAAAAAAAAAAAAAGAAAAAATCTAAATGTTTCACATGAGTGGGTTGCTGAGAAACAGAGGCATTTAAATGCAAAAGAGTGCCATCGCTGCTGAATTATTGAAAATCATTTCAGTCGAGTATAGATACACATACTTGTGCTATTTTGCTTGTACGTTTTTAGCCGTAATATTTACGGATGTGTATGATAAAACCGGAAGCCTGTGCATATGCTGTATTTGAGCTCATTCCACTTTAAAGAAATCAACGCGGAGTGCTTTTCTACCAACAGAGGGCAGTACAAACCACAACAGTGTTCGTGAGACATATATAGCACAGACTAACGGTTGGACAAAGTATGATTCAGAGCTTATTCATACCGTACATTGTCCAGTGAGACTGGTAATGACTCAGGGGTTTTGCCTCCACCTTGTATGTCATGGGGAATACTGTGGAACAGGATGTAGCTCAGCCTGGTTAAATATTGGATTGGAATGAAAAGACAACTGTAATTAAAACAGGCGTGGTGTCGTCTGTAACATTTAAAATTCTGTACAAAGTGCAATCACTGTTTGTTTGTTTTTTTACAGTCACGATGTAACGTATGGTAACTATGTAACTTAAAAATCAATAAAACAATCTTTGTGTGGTGGTAATGTAGGTGCGACACAAGATAAGTGAAATAAAAATGTTCCAGAATAAAAGTAGGGAACTGTGCAGAGATTGGCCTGGAAACCACAAAATCTACCGACACAATCGTAATGTTCTTTTCTCACAGGAATAAATAAATAATCTTTGTCACATTTCATAGAAGTATTTTTTTATTCTCTATTAATGCTTCACAAATAACTTCAATAAAGTTTTAAAATGTATATATGGTTTAGTATATGCTAAATGATATACTAAACGAAATAAATATATGTTACAGAGCTCAGCACTTCACCAGTATATCGATATTTTCCCATCAAAATGTTATTTTCTTTTACAGTTAGTCCCGTTCTTTTCTTCACACCTCACATCCGGTGTTTATGCTTTTATTTTGTAAAAAGAAACCACAAGGTATGAAGTAGTACTACGTTTTAGCTTCATCCTGCTACAAGTGTTCGACCACGAGAAAAAATCCTGTTAAGTAGATAAGTAACTATCAAAACCACCACCGGTTACACACAATATTTAAATACACCGTTAATAGTACAGTTACAGCCTACTGTGTATGAGTAAATGTATTTTTGTGCGACGGAGAATTCGCAATCGGTAGCTTTTAATAGCCTTATTGACTCCTCCCACCGAGTTGTCCTGGGAAACAGTAACAACTGTAAGAAAGTGCCCTCACTTCTCATGTTTCTCAGCGGGGGAAAACCACGCTGTCGCTCGCTTACCTCACTTCACATTACTGAACTTTTTAAAGGACACTTCGGCCTTCTTCTGACCGTTGTAAGTTCACACAGGGGGAGGATTATTATGCGTCCAGCAACGGCTCCAGCTGCTGCTACTGCATAAGGTAAGAGGAATCTGTGTTAAATGTAGCCTGCTATCACAGCTGTGGGCTAGTATGAATGGACCACAGGGTCTTTTACTGTCCCATACACGGACATTTGTTTAACGGCTGCAGGACGTTGGGATTTAACGTGTTGCGTCTTGGCCATGGTGACAACCCTGTTATTGAGCGGAGGCCTGAATAAAACTTCTCACGTTTCTGTGACCTCGGCAGCTCCGAACAACCTCCCAACGTAACGTGATCCCCAACAAAAGCTGACGAAATATAAAGAAAAGAAGTGTATTTTTTTTCAAGGTTTACTCATCATTATTTGACGTTAGATAAAAAAAAAAGAAAAAGTGAATCACGAAAGTAACGGTCGTCATGGAAAACCCACCTAGATGGATGGGAACTACAGCATGTGTTAATACCATTTTTTAATGGTAAAACCGAATTTTTTTCCATCTCCTCAAGGGTTTTATCATTATATGGAAAAGAAGCATTTACGGCACTGCTGTGATGTTAATAGAAGCTTTACAACTACCTCTATATCATAATTATAGTGATGACCACCTGACAGAGATCTGTCTTTAGGGGAATCATTACACTGACAATCCCTAATTAAACTTCACTCAAACCATTAAAGGCCACTGTTGGAGAGCACTTCAGTGTCTAAAAGGCCATTTTTCATCTTGCTACCTCAATCGTTTATGCCGCTTTCTCCTTAAGCTAGTTATTTTTTTTTATGGTCTCAAAAGTAACACACAATAGCCTACCACTAATTTCTCCCTTCCGTGAACTTCTTCTCTGTAAGTTTTTAACAGCTAATGATGTTGAAAGTGGCTACACCAGGGCAATGATTTCCCATGCTGTTACACACTCAAAGGTTTCCCATGTCATATGATAGAGTTCATCTTCCTGTATGATGGTTTAACATCCGCTACACCTCCTACGGTTGAAGAATATCTAGAATACATCGTCATAAGTTCAGTTGAAGAATATCTAGAATACATCGTCATAGGTTCCCACCGATGTGGTGTGTTCGGAGATGATCTCTGAAAGGTCAGGTGTAAAGTAGAGTAGGAACTGGAAAGACTTGGTTTACATCAAGTGTTTTAATACCGCCTACCGCGCAGAAATGTTTCTTTGTTTACTTTCGGAGAGAAGGTGAATGACGCTCTGTGTGGTTGTCATTACTGCTCAAAATTGCACGAGCCCCATAAACACTGTTTTTGACTCTGACTCTGACAGTTTGTGTCAAGCATCTGTTTCTCTTGTTGTCACTGCTGCTCAGAAAAGTTTGTTTTGGCAACCTAGTAATCTACCACCAAGAGACTAGCCAGTAAATCTGAGTCAGTGCCTACGAATGTTGGCATTTACCACTGGCATTGACCAAGGGCAGATGAATGCCATAGTCTTTGATAAGCACCAACACTGGTGTGATCTGAGCACACAAACAGACCACTGCCGTGTTTATTTAGGCCTGGCATTGAGTTTAATAGTTGCAGCTGATGCAGTGAACCGTCAGCGTATGTGCTACTGTGAAAGTTCATCTTGTCCTCAGCAGCACCAACCTGTGTATCATTATGACAATTACGGTAATGTCCGACTAAATTAAAGAGATGCGGCTAAATGTGTTCTTCATTTATGCAAATTTAAACAGCAGTTGCTAATAAAAGGTATAATCTGTGTGACATCCTGCCCCCATGTCAGTGCCTACTTCCCTGTTTACCACTGCAGAAAAAGCTGATACTGTTTGATTATTTTTCATTTTTATGTTTTCATAAGATTTTGCCTTGAACTTTTAATTGTTGCCACAATACTCTGCTGTAATAAATGATGTGTTCCTTGACCTTAACATCTGGTGATGACCGTTTTTCTAACATAACTTTTTAGACCATTGAAGCAGATGTGCTGCATGCTTTTAGCTTTGAAACTTTTATGTTATATTTTAGATTGTGTTAAAAAGTTATACCTTTGAAAACACTTATAATTTAAGAAGTACAGTTTGTCTTCCAAAACAACAAACTAGCATGACCACATCTGATACTGGTGTGTAAAGAGGAACTTAGATTTACACAGACCTAAAGCATAAATCCAGACATTTTTATTTTAATATGTGTGAAGCTTTGGTTGCATATATAAGTATTAATGATTAGTATTTAAAGGGCAACATCTAAAAAAACAATTTACATAGCATAAAGATGAACTTTCTACATTTTATAATCTATTCATTTAAACAATAGTTTACAGAAATGAGAAATGGTTTGCAGCGATGAACAAGTCTGGCACTTTTTCATGGCTGCAGGCCATTTTCAGGCAACTAGGAGCAAGTCACAGCTCTGAGTTCTAAGTACAAAGGCATTTCCCTGGTTCCAGTCATTACAGAGAGATAACCCATAACTGCCTTTAGCTGAAATATATTGTGCCAAAAACAGAATTAGCTTATTTACTAAATGTTGGACCATTTGGGAGCAAAAGACTAAGATTCTGATACACAGACCCATCACAAACCAGCAGGCACCCATTATACCGTCCACAATTACATTTTTATTCTAAAGTCCGGGTCTCATCAGGGGAGAATGCCTGTGTTTTTTTCACACAAAATAAAAGCCTATTAGTCTGTACTCTGTCCCACAGCAAATGTTGGTTTCTGTTGTGAGGCAGGCCATCCCACTTAGAAAGATGTATTTAGCTCTAGTACAAGAAACAAATGAAAGAGGAGTCAGACTCCCATTTAGAGTACTGTAAATTACCATGAGGATCCTGCTGGCTCCAAGTGCAACTCAGTCAAGTTCTCATCTTGACAAACCCCCTAATTTAATGATGACGGTGGGTACGCACAGTGTCAGCCTTGTAATTATACTGTATTTACTGTTGAATTGAGGAATTTAAGTGAGCCTCTCAGGTACTAGCTCATGATATAGCCATGTCTCAGGGACTGGTTTTGAATGCACTGGTTGGTGACTGCTGAATTCCCCACAGATATTCACTATGACGCCTGACTTAGTTTTTGTTAAGACAGGAATCACAGGAATCTTCAAAGCATGCCAAACAGCAGCCACACTCCCTTTTCCACACAGCCCCTGTAAAGCTCTGAGTCCTGGCCTTTTTTTTTCTCCATGGAGAAGAATTTGTGGTTAATTGTGCCTGCTGACTCATGAGTTTGCCATAAACTAAACCAGCCCATTTGGTTACCTTAAAGCTTAATTACTAGTGTACACTTTCTAAAAGTCAGGCTATTCAGGTTTTAAAAAAGACCACATTAAAACAGGCTTTAATACAAAATGTAACCTTTGTACTTAAGCCAGAAATTATCATTAAGTTGATAGTTGTTTCAGAAATTTGGGCTTGCTTTGTTTGTGCAATAGTTTGCAAAGCGATAGCCTCTGTGTATTTATAGTACATGCTGCACTGTTGCAGGAAAAAGATGCATATTTACTCCAAGAAAATATGTGTTTTATAAAGATTTTCTTTTCCCCATTTCATCATCAGTAGCCCTCAGAAATTGTGGTTGTGTTAAAGCTCTATAAAAAACATGGTCAAAGAGCAGAGGCAGGCTAGGACGTACACCAATGCCGTTGCAGTAGACACCTGACCTGACTCCGCCTCTCCCTCTGACATCAGGCTTTGATCTGCCTACTGTCTGTGTTAGCACAAAGCCATATTTAGCTCAGTGTAATCAGTGTGGTGAGAGCTTGCATGCCTGCTGCTGACGATACCTGCCTAGTGTAAACACACCTGCTCTCTGTGATGGGCCTGAAAAGAATTGAACGTGAACTACAAGGAGTCTGCTCATAGCTGTGCTCTATCAAACAGCTGGGGGTAAGGTTTCCTTTAATCTGCTTTCAGTTGCTTTTGAAGATTATCAGTAGTTTGAGGAGACAGAAAAACAATGACATAACAAAGATATCATGCATTTAAGTTGAAGTGGCTGATGTCATCTTACACACCGTCTTGGTTATGTGCAGAGTAACATGTTACATTTTAAGATTTTTCTTGTTGACAGTTTTTCTGTGCTGATAATGTTCCTCAGGGCAAAGTCTGTCCATTAGACACCTTCACGCTTTAGCAACCTGTACCTGGGTGATGATGACTCAGTGGTTTAACTTGATATCCTTTTAAATTTGAATTAATCTTTAATTATTTCAAACATTTAGATTTACTGTAAATAGAGACAGTCTTAATTATTTCAAACATTTAGATTTACTTGGAAGTGGATTCTGAAACATTTTTAGACATCATTTGTTCATGCATTTCTAGTTGCTATACTACAGTCTATTCTAACACATACTTAGGCTGATGTTCTGGAGCAACCTGCAGTTCCAGACATAGACTACTTGGAATCATATTTAGCTTACAAGTGTCTCTGTTAGGGACACTAAGTGGTCTTGTGAGCTCGGCCACTTGTAACTTTCCTCCCTCCAGATTGGAGGGGGAAGTGAGTTTACACACATGACATGGAAAACCAACACACTTCTCAAAACTACCATGGTGATTTCACTTCTACATCTCTCTAAATCTTAGGATTTTTATATGATTGGAGAAAAATCTAGGAGGAATCAAGGGTTCTGGTTGAAGTGTAACTCTTAGTGAAGACCTTGGAGAGGTCACCAGGGTGAAGACACACAAACATGTGCATATTTGCAGGTCATCTAGGGTTTCTTATTGACCAAACCTGCACATAACACCTTCAAGTAGAAAAATACACAGCTGTTTTTTTTTACACTCTAGTCTTTTGTGATAAACACAAATCAACTATAAAGGCACAATGTGTTTTCTGTTGAACGTATTAATAAACGTGAAATTATAGCTTTTTTTGTGTGTCAATTCAAGTTGGCTTGTTTAATGAAATGATGTGTGAAAATCACTTCTAACTGTAATGGGCTGGGTTAGTATCAATGTGATTAGACTGAGGTTAAGATTGCATAGAATCCTACAGATGAACCCCTCCCAACCTGGGCTAACAACCACTTCCGTTTCTAAAACTTCCTCTTTTTATGTGAATTTTACTGACTTGTTTTCAGTGTCTTTGTTTCTGCATCATAAGCTGTGTAATGTGTTATTTGTAACAAATTAAATTCTTCTTTAATCCTTAATTTAATGTTTATCTGTAACTGAATGATGCAGGCTCTCAAAGAGGTCAGACACCTTTGCTGTCATTGGTGCGACCTCTGGGTTATCTTCAGAAGACAGTGATTACCTGAAGAAAATAGATGGATATTGACACTTTTTGTATTTCTAAAAACTCAATACCTACACTGTTTATCCAAGCTAACATACAATACAGTGGCTTGGCTAAATCATGGTGGTAGTATATAGATGTAAAATGTTGAAAACTCAATACCTACACTGTTTGTCCAAGCTTTATCTAAGCTATTTTTATATTATACTGGTAATGGAGCATTTGCTGAAGGTATTTTGTATCTGCCCTTTAGTGCACTGATGTATTGCCAACAGAATCCGGGGTATATAGTTCTGGCAGTGGCCTGGCTACTCTGGTGGTTAATGGCAGTGTGGTCTCACACAGCAAAAACAACAAAGGCATCTGGCAGATGCGCTTGTTCATTAATCAGCTTAAATTCTACAGCATTTGTTGATGCCAAGTATTTGAAGAATCCTAAAATTTGCCGCGGCTGACAGACTCAAGCTGAAGTACACACCAACTGTTTGGTCTCTGGAAATTCTTGTATGATGACTTTAAAGACTTGGGAACAGATGTAACAACTAACAACTGTTGTTACAGTTGTTAGATCCCCTAATGATCACTTCATAATTTGTCAAGTCAACCAAAGCCAAATGAGTGCATCACACGTAATTTTGAACTCATGGTAAGATAACAACTTATTGTTGCAAAAAACATACTGTTTTGGTTAGGGCTGGGATGGCTGGGTGGTTAAGGATGCCACCAAGTCAGTGATGGTTTGGGTCTGGAAGGCTTCTGGTTCGAGTCCACCAGCTGTCAAGTTACCACTGAGGTGCTCTGAGCTGTGTTAAAAAACACCATTACACGTTATGCATAAAAGATGTCAAAGTATTGCGATGAAACGGCCTATGGTACATGTCATGGCCTGAAGGTGGTGGTGAATTTGGAGGGGGATGGGATAGCATCAAACATGGGGAGGGGCAACGATCAAGGATCAAGCCCTGATTACAGGCTGGTCCTTAGTGTGCCTCACAATAAGATAATGCTATCTGGGCCCACAGGTATTTGGTTTCAGTGGAGAGGGTAATAACTGTCACCAAACACTGAGAAGACCTTTCATCCCATGGCCTTGTGTTGTCAGCCAGCATTTGTGTGCAGTCCTGCACAGAGGCAGCTTTTGTGTGCACTGGTGCGGTCGCGTCACCACCAAGGCCTCATATCTGACCATAGAGACAATAGCGAAGTTAGATTAAATCAAACAGCCGTGACTATCTAAATGGTAGTCAACATGCTGTGTCCAGGTTACTGTGGTGGCATTGTCAAGAATGTGATGTAGCTCTGACTAATTTAGCAATGCCTCAGAAGAGCAGACCTGATGGTGAACTTTAAAAAAAAAACCCAAAAAAACAGCTATACACAAAGCACTCGGGTACTCCGACAGTTTGTGCTACAGCTGAATGCAGTCACTGGTGTCATGTAGTAGCTGTAGGTAGGCCCTTCTGGTTAACTGGGGTAGAAAACCTGAGAGGGGTTAAACAAATGTCTGAGTTAAATATCAAACCCTCCTGAGTGTCAATGAATCTCTTAAAGCACTATTCAGTTGCTGCCAAATGACCCACGGCTTTGGGTGGCAGCATTCACAGCACACTTCAGAAAATTACAGTGTGAAAGACCAGACTGGGGATTTAAAAAAAAGAAAATATTGCTTACTCAGCAGCTAACATGTGCACGATGCAGAGACACACTATAAAATTAGTATCACCTGTGCAGAGATTTTCAGTTTCTAGGTTAAACCTAAAGCCAATTGTAGTTTTATTTATTTATTCAAGTCTACTGGTATGTTTAGCAACTCCTACAGTTAGTTACATTTTCGATCAGAAATAGGAATTCTTCCAGTAAACTAGGGTTGGTGAATTGATTGCAACATCAGCAAATACTTCCTTGGTTATATGTCATGATTACAACTTTTTCAATAGACCAAATATCATTTAGCCACGAGTTTGACAAATCAATGACTTACAGTATCTTTACTTTGTTTACCCTGGTATCTCTAGAACCCTTATGTTGCTGAGTCATACAGGCAGCACATACCTGTGTTAGGTGACACCGATTATTGCTCTTGAGGAGTTTGTTGTTCACTTGAAGCAGTTTGAAAGAATACACTGTGTGTGTTTTCTTGATTGAGTTGGAGGACTGTCAGACATATTGAACGTTGTCAGAGTTATACTACTATGGTAGTGAAAGTTGAGAGCAGTTTCAGCCCTACGAAGGAACTCTAATGTTGACTTTATTACACAACTGACGTGTGAAGAAACTGATTAGTTCACATTTATTTTCTATCTAAAAATACATTAATTCATTCTTAATTCTATTTACAGACGGACCAGTAAAACTATTAGACGATTTTCTGTAGTTATGAACAATCCTGTACTAGTTCTTTCACTGAGGAATTTTCAGCTTTTGGTGACAATGGGGAGAAGTTCAGTAGACAGACCGACTAATCACTAGTGAAGCTAATCCCATTCATCCTCTCATTCATGCTGTAGTCACATGGTCATTATGGCCTATTCTATTTGCCAGAGGACTCATGGTAGCTGTAACAGTTCCATTCACATCCCGACTTGGTGCATTACAACTCCTAGCCTAGGATTGAGGGCTTTTTGTCTCTTGATTTATCGGTACATTTGCAATGGCTAGGCACTTGAATGCCGCCGATGCCCTGCTTCTGTGTGGCCTTTCTGCTGTAGAGCGAGAAATTCAGTTTTAGAAGCGATACAAAGGCAATCTGCTGTAATGAAGACTCTATGGAGCTTGGCGGAAGGCTGGCTACATCCAGTGTTTTAGATGAGGTTAATGGGTTGTGCAATCTCTGTAAGCAGGTGTCAGGTGGCCGTAGGTCGAGCTCAGAGGCTACAGTTTCTCAAGGCTCTTCTGTAACCAGAGGAAAGAACAGAGTTTGGTTCAGGAATGTGCTCTTTTACCAGTGTTAATTGGTTACAACTAGATGTTAACACTTCAGAGGTTATTCCTCAACATTTGTGGATTGTTCATTTCCATTCACATTGTGTGATGATGAGATAAAATGTAACAAGTTATATATAGCTATGCTATAAATCCCCATGAATAGTGTATATTAGAACTGGACATGACGGAATGGTTGCACACTGAAGCCGCAGAAAAGCACCTGTAGAGCAGTGCAGAATAACTTCCACAGTTAGCAGTTGTTTTCATTGACTTAGCTAACTGCTACTACATTTGCTTCTCAGCTCAATTTAACTCTGATAAGAACCCGTACGATTAATTCGAAGTACAAAGTAATTTATTAGAAATGTATTTTTAACTTCAGGATGATGGAAACACACTTATACACTGGCTATTATTATCTCTTCTCCAGGCAGTGACATGTGCAGCAGTGGGCCTGTCCTCCAGTTTCACAGCAGGGTCAGAGTCTTTGTTCACTGCACTGTGATGAAATGGCAGAAAACCCCAAGGCTTGCTGTAATTGCATGTCTCGTCCACAAATCACTTGTCAGTCTGAGCAACCGCTCACCTTTTCACCTTTTCAGAAGTTTTGAGACAATGTAGGATTTTTATTAAAAAAAAATTAGTAATCTAATTATTAAGACAACACTATTCACTTACACACAACACTATCTAAAGACAACAAAGGAGGTGACCGTGCCCTATGACCTGACCCATTGACACGTGGTTGTGATCACTTTGGTCAATGTTTCACACCTTGATCTAGGTGTTTACCAGCCGTCAGTTAGAGCTGAAGGATCTGTTTGGATGATATAATTATTTATCATTCTAAATAATGAAGATTTTATAGCCTAAGGTTGGAAGAATGCTCACAGACAAGTGTGAGTGGACACGTAGGACTAAACAGTGAGGTGACATACAAGGGAATAAAAGTCAAGGTCTGATATCATGTGGACAGTTAACTTTACAAATGCTACTGCGTTAAACTCTAAACTATAAGCTATCTTTGGTCCTATAGACTGTATCTGACCTTCTAGTGCTGGTAAAGCAGTTAAATGTAATCTGTAAGTCTTCTTGAGCACAACTTGAGCAGTGAAGCTCGACGCCATAAAGTAAAATTGATTAATTTTTTTTAGCAGATTTTTTTTTCTAGATCCTTGACATAGAAAGCAGTCAAGCAAAAAGGCAAGATGTCTGCCTGTGTGGAAGAAAATCCACTCACGTACTGGCAATAAAAACTGATTAATTTGTACTGCTTTCGCCACACAGCTGAACAACTGTTAAGGTGTCCTTTACGCAAAGCTGCCAAATGCAATTATTTAAAGCAATTGGAAAATTACGATGGGATGAAACATAACAAAACTTTTTCTAGTGAATTATATCTTTTTAGTCCTTAACTGTCAAAACACTGAATTAGCCATAACTGGGTATAAAAAAAAACCCAAACATTTTTATACAATTAATTAGATGTTAGATATGATAACCCGAACACATCTGTGGTATATATTTAAAAGATAATGATAATGAAATACATACAGTATATCACATGGAATACCCTAGCAAACAGCAGTGCTGTAAAAAGCAATAAATTGAAGTACTCACACAAAATACTCCTATGTTAGGATAGTATGAGCAGCATTTTGGTATATTTGCAGTCATGGTTTGTAAAATGGTAACCTAAGCTGCTTCTTTATTTTTACGTGGAATACAGTAATAACACGTTTGTTAGGGGCGTTATAAGTGAAAGTCAAGTGAGTCTCTGGCCTAGTGCACTGAAGGCAAGAGGATTAGATTCCTGTGTATTATTAGAGACACTGATTATCTCCTAACCTGATCTGCCTTGTTGTAGCTTCAGCACAATTATTTAGCAAAGAAGTTGATAAAAAAACATTTGATTATTGCTAAAATTATTGCTTTCTCTTCTTAAATGCTCCGTTGAATCCAACACTGTTTCCTTCCCTGTGCTCTGCTGAACTCATTAGGTCCTAGCTCTTTTGTCACTGTCTTCTTTCCTACCGGCTGCATGTGATTAATACACTGCTAACCACAGAGGGAAACAGCAAGCACTTGTTTTAGTAACAGATAAACGCAAACAAAAGGCAATTGTCCCTGCAAAATATCTGAGCAGAACAGGCTGTTGAAGCGACCAAGTCACTCAACCCGTCGATCTGTTCTAGATGTGTTTGGTGGAACTGTTTTCGATCCATTTTGTCCTTAGTGCACAGTTGTAATATGTTCTTTTAGATTTTATTACAAACCCACTCCCTCTGACCTGGTCAGACGGGGCCTTTGGCTGCTTCAATGTGATTAACTGATTTTTCCTGAAGCACTCGTCTTTTGCAAGACTTTTTTTTTACTAGACTAGACTAGACTATATATAAGACTCGACTATATATAAATGTTTTATATATATATATAACATTTAAATGAGAAATGGACATTGATGCACCTGTGAGTTTTTTCCCTTCAATCCCGCTGCTGTTTTTCTGTTACACATTCCCATGACACTGATCATCACACTCTCCCTGCCGCCTCCACCCTTTTCTTGACCTCATTCGTGCTCCTCGTGTAGCTGTGAATGATTGATCCCTGGTGTTAAAACCCAACTTCACCACCTCTGCTCCAGCCAGCTCTCTCACCTTTCCACCTGTCTCACCCATTCACACACATCCACACACATCTGGATTCCATCCACAGCATTTCTGGTCTCAGTACGGCCCAGTCGTCAGGCTCACTGTTAGCTGCCGTCTGCTTCACTTTGAATGGTTAGCTCTTGTCTGCACTATCAATACACCTGTTCATTACTGTCGTAAACTTGACTTCTCCCACACGGTCTTGAGGTTTATATGAATTTCATGCTCTGCCCTCACATAATCATCTCCTACATGTGACTTTCTCTCCTTTGTTTTTCTCTACTTTCTCTAGATGCACATAAAGTTCTTTCTCCAAAACTCTTTAAGCTAAACAAACAAACAATATATAAAGATGTATTTTGACCCAAATGTATTTTCTTTTTTCATTGCAGTGTCCTGGGACATGAAACTCAATCAGCAACAAGCACCATTATATGTAAGTATCGTTTGTCCAGTTCATTTTTATTTTCACAGCACAGTCCACTTTTAATCTGGTGTGAAGATTGTACTGTGGTGTCACACACAGCTTCATTCTGGCCCAGACTCTTCTGAGCTACCACTAAGTGTGCTGATTTATTGGTTTGCACATGTCTATGGCAGTGTTTGTTCTTCCTGCTGTCGGCGGTATTAATTCAATTTATAGGAACCACAAAAAGAGATGGAAGAAAAAAGTGAAAAAAAAAAACTGCTGGAAAAATAATTGATTTTGTTTTAATTTTATTTGTGAAGGAATTTGGTCTGTTTACTTTGCAAATATTTCAAACTTCATTCCAAGTTTATGATTAATATCATCTATTGCTTGAATTACAGTTATTATAGCAATAAATGCCCAATTTAATTAAAATCAATAATTAATTTTCTTTCACACAGTTCCAGTGATTATACCACATTTACACAGTGTATTTAACAGTCTGGGGAGGAAAGCTTTGAATATGGACTGCACTAAGAGGTCAAAAGGTCAATGTTACTTTGGGTTAATACAATATCATTATGTATATCTCTGTGTTCAATCACTACATGGGTCATGTGAGTTCAGCCCTGCATGTATCCACTGACAGTGGTGCAGCCTCCAACCATACAATAACAGCAGAACGTACATATTTCTGAGATCTGATTTAATTTTTTTTTTAATCTCCCTCCAGCAAACTCTGTGTAATGCATGCATCCTGCCATCCATTTTTTCCTGCTTATAATTCCACCTCTGTGTCAGCTCGTATCTGAAGGCAATATAAGAAAACCATTCATCTGTATAACCTGTGTTATTAAATGAGAACATCTCTTGGACCCACAAACTATATCTGTTAGGATGAGAAATGACTGAGGACATAAAAGAAATGTGTGATGCATGGAAGAAGTACCTTGAACACATAGCTTTACTAATGTCTACCGCAGCAGCTTTCATTGAGGTGTCTTTGTAGCCTGGTCTAGCCTTGTCCTGTCTCTAATGACGTGTGTAGACTGGTCGGCAATTTGTTGGTCTGGACTGGAACAAGTTTTAGTGCAGTTCTAGTGCCTGGAGAGCAGCATACTATGAACTGTCCTCCATTCTTCTACATCTTGCTCTAAACTTCTCCTGTTTTCCCCGGGGAGCGATTTCATGCTCAGTGAAGACTTTGGAGCCTAGCGTTCTCTTTCTATCTCACAATTTTCCTCTGGGTTTTTTTGCTAGTCAATTTTTATGTTCGCCAAATCTGAATCAAGAGAAGATAATGAGGGTTGGATAGTTGTAAAAAAAAAAAAAACCCAAAACAAAACCATGGAGATTCAGCTGGTTGGGCAAAGCAGAGATGATTCATTGTCCTGATGATTGGATTAGCAATTAGATTAACAATTTATTTTCATGGTTAATCAGTTATGCACAGGTTTCAAATATCTCCAGAGAAATGGAAAAAACAAACTGTTTCATCACGTATCATCAACCATCACAGGACCTTATTTGGTTTGTTCGTCGTAAATATTAGCTCTTATCTGTGAGTCTATTTGTAGTAGAACTTAAATTGTACTAAACACTCAACACGCAGTAAAATTACCCTTAAGGTCTATGGAGTAGTACGTATGTATCTCTGTACAAAGCATAATACTGAGTACATCTACGAGTACTTAGGTTAACTAACATATTGATGTGCATCGCAGCGTCATGGGGTTTTATAGCAGTGTCAGAGCAAGTCAGCAAAAAGGTTTTA